ACTAAAAGTCCAAACCCAATTGAAAAGATAAGGATATAAAATTCTTTAATACATTATAATCATACATTTAAGGTTTTCCAATGATGTCAAGAAATTAATTAACTCTCATTACCTATAGTTTAAGCAAGATATAATACACTAAGTATAATCTAAAGCATAATAATACAATTCCTAATTCAACTTGGGTCGATTAACTCTACAACATAAGTAGACATCAAGAGGCTAGGAGGCTAAATGAACTTAGAATAGTCTGATAGATTCTAAAGTCATTTAGAATCACGCTCTAAACTCCTTTATAAGCTTTCAGACATTCAACAGGACATTCAAGCTTATCATGATCTCTTAAGAGTAATCCTCCCTAAAACCATAACAATCAAGCATAATATAACAAATGAATTCCTTAAGGATCCACCAAGATATGGCTCGGGACCCGATAATTCATAAAGTAATATAAAATACCATAAAAGTACTTATACTATAGCAACTGCCCAATGCTCAAGGGTATGGGGCTTAGATAAAGTGTCTAAACCCTTGTGAGCAATATGAGATATTTGGTTTGGCCACATATGGATCATTAGACTAGTGTAAGGCTGAGGTTCAAGTTGTAAGGGCGATGACGACATTTCTTATGTGTGCTAAATGAAGGATACGGAGTGGGAATTTAGAATAGTATCTCCTACCCCAAGGATCCTTCAAGAAAGAGATACGACTGATGATATTGTTCACTAACACTTTGTAAGAATTTATAGCTTTATATTCTTAGGTTGTCAGCATTTTCAGTCTGATTAGGATGATTAGCTCGTGGACAATATGAAATTTTCCAAATACATCTAAAATATGATTTTCTCAAAATATCACCACCTTTAACTGCTAAAAAAAATAATTATATGTATGAAAAAGTAAAAAAAAATTAAATCAAAATTATGAAAGTCCACTGGTTAATCATCTCGATTAGGCTAGAACATGCCCTACTGAGATTGTTTGGTCGGTAAATGTTGTCCAAGGTCGGAAGCTCACCACCCAACTCTGAGCCCACACCTTTCTAAAGTTTTATAATTGACCTGATATTTCATATGTGGTCATGGGTTTTGTTTTTCTTGCTCGTGATTTCCTACAATTTGTTTTCTTTGTACTGGGTTTTCATGCTTTCCTTTTTTTTTCATCACAATTTACTTAAAATTCATCCTAATATACTATGCTACTAACCATGCAGTGGTAGTAGAGGCCCAGGTACGTTCAATTATTTATTTACAACGAATTTCTTTTCTACATCATTTCCTTTTCTATCCCTTGCTTATATAATTGCAAGACCTTTAGGATAAAAAATAGTAGTTAGTTTACCTAGGGTGGATCACTACAAAATCCGAACATATACTTTTAATTAATTGGATTATCAATAATTAAAGAAAAAACATAAGACATTAAATACTAAACCTGTAGCAGCTATCAACAATGAGCTCGAAGCAAGCTAAAGCAGACTGGGGGATGACAATCTGCAACAGCAAAGTAAGTCTACATCAGCTAAACCATTCCTTATAAACAAAAAAATAATTCATAGGATTTTGAGTAACTTCGTCTAGCATGACATAAATCTTCACTTTATCTTTAGGCTCCTGCACAATCATATTGAGCGGTAGAAGTCCTAACTTGATTTTACGTTCTGAGGTTGTCATTCAGTACAACATAATCCCTCCTATCTTTCTAGGTTGTTTACATGATCATGATCATGCAAACGTAAGCTCAACATAATAAAATTGGCAGGATAAATCATTAAATAACATCTTTTCAAAATTGAAGCCGAACAGTAGGATAGCTTGGAAGTCATTGATGTTTTCCTTTAGGTCCATGGAATCTCCCACCTTTCATTCTCTTGGATTCCTAAAAAAAATTGTTCCTATTTTGACTCGTTCCCTTTTAACTTTTTTGCGTCCATCCTTGTAAACTTAAAATTTGAAATTCTTGAAAATAGTACCACTATTCTTAATTGAGAGTATTCTTAGGTGACTTCAGTCCTCTAAGATGTGATTAACTATAGGGTCTTGCCTCTATAGAGAACTTAAGAACCTAGGTAATATAAACTATAATTATTTTCTTATATTGGATAGGGGAATTTGTTGGCCATATAAAAAAAATGGTTTCACCAACCTACCAATGATTTATTTAAATAAATTCTTTAGTTTATTTAATTGAGCCTCACTAGTAAGTAATGTGTCTTTCAAATGATGTGTCTACCCTCCCGAATAAATGCATTGTTTGGTAGTGTTGTGCTTGTTGAATTCAAACTATCAAATATATGGGACCTTGTTTGTCCTACCTTTCTAAAATTAAAGTCTTATCATCAAAATATATATATATATATATATATATACATATATCACTTATTAAATTTATTAACGACCAACAAAGGTAACGCTGAAAGTGCACTTTAAAGGGTTCAACTTAAGATTATATTGTCGTAATCGTTCAAAAATAATCCTTAAATCATACAAATAGTAATCCATTTCTTTTCTCTTAATGACCAAGTCATCAACGTAGCACTCAACTTGGTTGTGGAAGACGTCATAGCAAATTCTTGTCATGGCTCATTAATAGGTTGCTCCTATATTCTTTAATTTAAATGACATTACTGTGTAGCAAAAAATCCCAATCGTATTCCTGAAAGTTGTAAGCATTACATATTTCAGGGCCATCATAATTTGGTTGTATCTGGATCATCCATCCATGAAAGAGAAATTCTCATATTACTACGCGATGTCCACCATTAGCTCTGGTATGGTAGTGGAAACTCATCTTTTGGACATGCTTTGTTTACCTCCATGAAGTTGACACACCCTCAGATTTGTCTAGTTTTCTTCTTAACTGGCATGACCTTAACTAACCATGTAGGGTATTGTGTAGGGTATTGCTCCACAAAGTTAGCGTCTATTAATTTATTCACCTCGACAATGACTTGTCCTCTATTTTGAGGCGCATTACTGCAGAAGCTTTTTTTTACTAGAGTCATACTCCGATTCACTCCAAGTCCATGAACTACGACTTCCAAAGACAATCCTGACATTTCATCTTAGTTCCAAACAAAGCAATCTTTGAATATGACAACAACTTGACTAACTTCATAGACTCCTCATCGTTGAGTAGAGAACTTATAAAAGTGGGTCTGGGCTAATTCTCAGTCATAAGGTTAACCTTTTTTAATTCATCAACCATTAACTTGATTTCTTCTTTGAATTTTGGCAAAGCATCACCTATTGAGGGGTCCTTGGACTCATCTTCGATGTCGAAGGAGTCTTCTTCTAAGCTGTCAGTACCGACCATACAAAATTTTGAATCATCAGCTGGTCCCATTATATGAAATCTGACACCTTCATTGGAGTTGGGGGTTCTACCTTTAGTGTTCCATAACTTCTTAAAGAGGTGTAGTCTCCCCTTTATCATTTGTTTCAGCAAATGTCCCTGTTGAATGAACTTTTGAATATAAGGAGAGTAGTAATGGTAATTCCATTAATTCATTATAAATACTTTCTTCCAAATTTAATTGGGTTTCTAAATTAGAAGAAGGAGAAGCATGGTGGAACTTGTTTGGTGTCATGCTCGCACCATGGACTTTCTTGACCTATATACTCTTGATTTTATGAGAGTGAATTTGAGTTAAGGTCATTGTCTGCACATAGTGGTTGATTTGATTGTACATTGACTTATATTTTTTTTTTCACTTCATCCTCTGCTGAGATATCAAAATGTGGCTTCTTCTGGCTTACATTTGTTGCATCTTTCTCAACTTATCCTCTTCGGAGCTTCCCTGTAAGTCAATGTTGATAGTTGGAATCTTTTGTTCAACAATCTTGTTAGTTCTTCCTTTCCCGCATCCTCGGCCTTGATCTCCGATGCGTGGGCTAGAAGAAATTCCATTATATCGTTGCAAAGGAGTGGTGGGAGATCGTTGAATTGGAGCTCGATGGTCCTATTCTTGAGATCCTTTAAAGCCTTCAATCTTATTCAACATTCCATCCCTAGAAAAGATGGTCTTCTTTAGAGTAACGTAGTAGACAGCATCTTTGTGGATTCCTATTTTGTGTATTACGATGGTTAAAAATCCCCTTTTAAACAATGCTTCTGTCCTTCTTTATAATATTTAAAACATTGGTGTAGTGATAACAGAATCATATTATGCTCGTGAATCCACAGTCGAACAAGCAAGGTGTTTAATTTAGTGAAATAAAGAGATAATTTGGATGTGCAAATGTTAAAATATAAAAAAAATTGTGATGGTTTTTCAACTCCGCTCTTAATTTACTTTTCAAACTGGACAATTGAATTGTTAAAATATGTTGTGAAACATATGATCCGGGAAATGGAGTATGAGTTCTATAACAAAGTGAGAATCTTATGATTCATAGCTTTCTAAAGTATTGGATGCGACCATATTAAATCATTCTAATCGATAGCGCAGTGTCCAAAAATGAAAAATGAGGTTATTAGAGCAAAAAAAAATTGCTGAATATATATTAATTTGTAGGTCCAAATAAACTAAAAAAATCATTTATAATTTCAAGTGAAATTTTCATTCGATTAATTTATATTAACGTTTATTTTTTTCTTTATATTGCATAATTACTTCAAAGTTTTTGAATTTTGTTGCAATTTAATTGTATTAAAACAAGCTACACTGTTTTACATTTTCGCCCAACTCATTTTGGGCATAACTGACTAAATAGCTCCATTTGAGCATTTTTGTTTCGATTTAGGGAAGCGCTGGCTCGAAATTGGATATGATTAGCCAGAGTTCATTTTCTAGCTTAGCTTGAAATGGAAGCCATCAAAGAGCAAGTAAAAAAAGAAAGCACAAAAAACATGGAAGGAGATCATAACAGAGCTAAAGATCTTACATTGATTTTTTGAATGATTTAACAGTCCTTTCACGACATGAGCACTCATTTCAGCAAAATGAAAAAATAAAATAGAAAAACTCTTGCTCACCAAATAATTAAAAGAAATGATAACATAATTTTTTTTTATATTTACTTTCTTTTTTTCTTATGTTCATTCACTATCATTTGCTGCAACTTTATGAGAGGCTTCTACCGAAGGCGGCATCGCGTTGTCATTGACAACCACTTCCGCGAGACCAACTTCTCCTTTCATCTTTTTTTCTGCAATTTGTCTTTTGGTTGATTTGTAGTATATGGCATGCAACAGTAACTGGGTTATGGAAAACAGCAGGCCCAAACTATTCGGAATCTGTATAACAAAAAATAAAAATATTTATAATAAGTTTTTAAGAAAAATTCGGAAGGCTTGCAATATTATGTCATGGAAACTTAATTGAAGTCAAATTACTTTATATAGAGACCAGATACTTGTATGAGTAATAGTTTTTTAATATAATTATCTTTTCAAGCAATCTATAAATATTAAACTACAAAAAATAAATGCTATTTGCAGTTATATCTGAATCAGGTATACTTTTAATCGCACAACATAATTATGGCTAGACTTTAGAGAAAGATGCTACTAAATAAGAATGTTGCCTGTATGTTGTTTGTCGTAACATAGGTCCTTGACAGAGCATAATAGTACTTGTATTAGGTGCGTTGAGTTTGTAAGTTCGTTTTACTATGAAATTTATATGCTCCATTAATTGGATTCTATTATATTCCTATTCAGTAATTTTTTTTTTTCATTGTAAGAGTTGTGGATTGTCATTTTTTTTATTTTCAATGCTTCATTTAAAAAAACAACCTTTTATATAAGGAATTTATGAATTCTATTTTTTATCCATGATATTAATAAACAATTAATAACAAGATTTTTTTTTTCTTTTTAAAAAACATTTCAAATTTTTTTTTTATTTAATTCATTAAGCTGATTTATACAAATATGATATTTAATAATTTTTTTTTTCTTTTTTTGTGTGATACTATCTCTATGTACTTATATTTATGCTGGTGTGCATATGTGTGTATGTTCGAACTATTGATTTGACCCCATAATGCTCAAAGACTAACATACAAAAAGAATAATTAAGTATATATTTAATTTCATATTCAGAAGAAAAAGTTGAGATCGAAAAGCTTTATTACCGTAATATAAATATCAAAGCGAATGAGGGCATAGGTAGTCCAGCAAAGTCCATTAAAGAATGATGCAACAGATATGGAGAGTGGCATGTATTCCACACTCTTTGTTTGTATCACCATTTTCTGCACCGTATCAAATAAAATAACATATTAAAAACTTAAGCAAATAAATACAAATACAATTTAAACACACAAGACTAGTTTCGCATACCATAACAGAGAGCGGTGCGAGATACATCATGATGCAAAAAATGACACATAGGATACCAACGATGAGGGAGCGGCGATCATGTGTGTGGAAGCATGTCAGAACCACGACAACTACGATGGCAACAAAGGTCAAGTCTCCAAGGAAGAGCAATAATGCCTTAGTCCGCTTTGTCCCAGTAGAGAATACAAGGTAGAGGATGACATAACAAACTTCAATTAAGGTTCCAACACTATTGATGGAAAGAACAAGCGTGCTATTTGGGTGCACAAGGGGTAACCCAAAGACCATCCATAGCATGCAATTTAGAAGTGTGGCTGCATATGGTATAACTGAGAATTCCTCCACAGATTTATTCTTCCATATCCTGATAAATATTGGCCTAAACCGCCAAACAAGAATAACATTAACTTTAATTAATCTATTCAATTGTATCTGCTCATTACTTACATCAAAAAAATAATTTTTAAATTAATTTAAATTAAAAAAAAATCAATAAAAAACTGAAAAATATTTCATTCGAAGTTCATTCAGAATACTTAAATTGTTTTTCATATTAAAATGAAGTACTTCAAACTTTTCTAATTCCAAATTCATAAAAGTAGGGGATGCCCTGACTTACAATGGGGATAAGAAGAGGCCTAATGCGATAACGTTGCCAGCGATTCCAACGACAGTCCGAATTAGATCCACAGAAACCATGACTCTATATATTACAAGAACTGAATTAAATAAAAAATGAGTGTAAGAGAGCGAGGGAGAGAGCTATATGAACTGAAGATGAAGAGAAGGGAAGGCAGATTTATATAGGATGGATGGAATTTCAAGGTTGCAGATAACGACAACTGCCGACTGATCATGAGCTGGTCTATATTACAAGAACTGAATTAAATAAAAAATGAGTGTGAGAGAGCGAAAGAAAGAGAGAGAGAGAGCTATATGAACTGAAGATGAAGAGAAGGGAATGCATATTTATATAGCATGGATGGAATTTAAAATTGCAGTAATGACAACTGCCGACTGATTATGAGATGGTCGACCTATGAAGAAGAGTTTGGAAAAACAATTCTTCCATGATGTTCACGTACAGTAATGGTTACAATTTACATAAAGTAATTTTGCCAATTTGAACATTTCAATCGTCATATTTTGATAGTTTGTCGGACAATTTAAACTAGTAATTACATAGAATTCTTGCAGTGTTTAGTTTTGCTAGGTCTTTAGAGGCGGAGAAGCACGAATGAGTTTGAATTGATTGCTATATTTTATATTTGAAAGGAAAATTTAGTTTATTTTTAAAATTTATTTTACAATTATTAAATAACTTGTTAAATCCGTTATATTTACGAAATGAAATGCTTGTTGAAAGCTAAATAAACAAATGGGCTGAATAATGAGCTCGGTTTCAACCAAATCTTGGATGACGGGCACCAAACTGTCAATTAGAATAGTTCGTAAAATATTAAAACAGCACTTGCTTAACCTGGATTTCTTCCTTCTCTTCTTATCATCTTCGGTGTTGAATCCAGATCTATCAATTGCACCCCAACAATAAAGCTTAGAATAGGAGAGAGAGAGAGAGAGAGAATGGAATGCACCGCGGCTTGCTCGTTTGGGACAAAACTAGTGTATTTCCAGACTTTTTTTTATCATTCTTATATAATCGAATATTTTTGATATATGAGAGCAAAAGTTCCTCTTTGTAGAAATGACTTTCCAATTTATAGGCATGGGAGTATAATGTGAATAATTACACGATTGCCCTTACTTTTAGTTAGGTGTTACATGAAATTTTTTACATATAGAAAACAAATGAGTCTATAATTTGGCTTCCCAATCATTCGGTAGGCAAGGAACTGTCATCCTTATGTGGGTTTACTACATTTGGGCGACTCCGTTGATTTGTGACAATCGATTACCTTAGCGGTCCTTCGGTCGTCTAGACTTTGCTTGATCATCCAAACTTCATTTGGTTGTCTGGAGTCTGTAGGTAGGGTTTCTCAGTCTAAATGTCAATTGTTGAGCTTTGGATAGAAAACTCATGTTGCTAGGGTTGAATTAGGTTATAAGGCATAGGGTGAATTATCAAACTTTGACAGGTAGCTTTCCCTTTTAACAAGAGATCCGTCTGGAAGGCTTGATGAATGTTCAAAGATGAGATCCTTTGACCTTCTAAAGAATCATGGACTCTTGCAAGGAGTTGTGTGATATTTAGACAAGAGTAGGATTGGTTCTTTCAATTAGTTAGTTACCAACGTTGACTCATATGACCTTCATTTTGGTGGCTCAAATCCTGTTTTGAGGGAGCAGTAGTTGGTCAACATTACCCTTTGGTTTACTACTGATGTGGTTCATAGTTTCTTTGAAGACTTATTCTTGATTGTACTTTTTTGTCTTGTAGTCCGTTAAACTTCCTCGAGATTTGTGTCGATATGTTTTGACATACATATTTAGTTTTTTGATACTCTTGCTTTTTGAAAGTTGTGTTGTAATAAGAACAAGAATATTTATTTCAAAAAATTGATTCATTTATTTTGTATTCAGTACATCAATAATTGAACTCCCTAGATTTTTTGTATCAACGGTCATTTATAAACATGACACAGTTGGTACCTTCATTGTCCTCATTGTTTGATAGTGTGTTGTTCGGTTAGCTGGCTTTTGAAGGATATTCAAATTAAATAACAGGAAGACTCTGGAAGACTGCATTATCAAGGAAGTCCTAGTGAAAGCCTTTGGAGAATCTGTGTCTTGAGTCCTCTGAGAGATAGAGCTCAAGTGGAGGAAGCGAATGGAGGGAGACAATCGGCCTGAGATTTGAAGACCGAAACAAAAAAAAATTGAGTGAAGGGAGCAGACTCGAGGGTGCGAAAAAACACAAGGTAATAAAGAGGATGGTGGATAGAGGTCAGGATGAAGGTGTGCAGAGACTTAAGCAACTTTCATATTAGAAACAACAAATGGAAAATTCTAGTGATGAGGTAGTGTCATCTGACTCACTAAAGCTTCTTTGATAAAAGGATAGAGGTCAACCATTTAATGCCTGATTCCTATGCCTACTATGGCTAGCACTCATCTGGATGTCCAACCTACCTATGGAAAAACCAGAGCCTCACTGCCCCCTGATCAAAGGTAAATTCATCATCTAAGCCTTGGCATTTTTTCATTTTGGCCAAATTGCTTCCTACCACAAATATCAAGGAAGTAACAAAGGAAAGTGCAATCCTCAACTACTGTATTCAGACAGAAAGACCTATTAACGTGGGGGCACTTATTTATAGATCTATCATTAAAGTTGGACTAATTGGATCTATGATTGGGCTTGGACAGCCTTCTATTATTTTTTTACTTCGTAGTCAAGCCCAGGTCCCTTGTCAAATTTGGGAAAAGATACTTCTTCCTTGGAAACTCATGAACCAGTCTATCTTGATGTGTGAAAATATCAATCTTTATGTGTGTCGGCACTATTTTTGGTGTGGGGTTTGCCCGTAAGAAGCTGTCGGTCATCGAAATTGAAACCCCATTGCCCGCTTCGGAAGGACGTTTTTTTTTAAAAAAAATTTATTTTTGAAAAAGATGAAGTCAAACTGACCGCATAATTTTCATAGTTTAGATGTAAGAGCGTTTTACCTCAAATCCTATATCTATCCCGAAGGATGAACACAAGAATTGAGGGTGAGGCTCGATCAAATAAACTATAGAAAGTTATGACATCCGTTTGGTCTGCGAAACCAATGTATTAGCTGACAAATTCCCCTATTTAATATAAATAATTAAATAGGGTTTATATTATGCTTGGTTCGGGAAAAGCTTCCTATAAGGGCAAGCCCCTATAGTTAATTATATCTTAGATAACTGAAGTTACCTAAGAATACTCTCGATAAAAATCAAGAAAAAATATCTTCAAGGAGTTCAAATGGTAAGGACATTTCAAAGATATCAGACTAAGAAGTGTGAAGGGGGATTGATTCAAATTTGAAACATTTTGTTTTGGAGTCCAAAGGAGGAAACACTAGAGAATGTCACAGATCCGAAGGAGAACTTC